AGATTTAAAGAACTTTCAGAAGTTTGGATTCTGAATATGAGCGACTTTACCTTTAACCAATTTGCAAAATAATCTTCAGCTGCAGGCATAGTTCAGATGTTTCCCTGCTTCTGCACAGCTAATTTCAGCTGAGCGCTGATTGATAAAATTTAGCTGTGCAGCAATAATCTGAATTTAATTGTGTTAAAGCAGGAAAAAAATGAAACCCTGCAGGATGCATGCTGCCCTTTGTTTTTAAGTCTTTCCCCACTGAATGTGCTTAGGAGTCAGAGTCAGAGGAGATTTACAATCTATTTCTGCGCTAAGGCTAAGAAGGAATGCTGGTAACAGGCTGGTTTAAGCTAGGGGGAAACTATTGTCTCCCGCTCTATTATAATGTATAAAATTTTTTGACCCTTTCTCCCTCAAAGAGCGAGAGCCTTTAGATGCTTTATGGCTTTGAATAAATTAGCAAAGAGAAAAATCGATCGGTCTCTGTTTTACTGAGCGGTGATCTATTTCCCTCTGATAAATAAAAATGTCCACATCAGCATCAAAACCTCAATATCTGGCCTGCTGTGAGAAAAATTCCCAGTGAAATGTCCTAAATGACGGCATCTATTGTTCACCAGCACTGCTAACGCTCCTCCTTTGCTTTTGCAGATCTTTTAATCTTTTTCTGCAAGTATGGTTAGCCTGGCGGGAAGATAATTGCGTCAAGGATATGAACCTGCAGCCATGTTTCAGTGAAACACTGGAAGGAAGCTAAACAAATAAGCAAAAGTAACCATTAATGCTATGTGAAGGATACCTTCCTGTTAAGTGTTATTAAATAAAATAAAACTGAAATTAGAATTAAACAATAAAAATAACTTGAGAAAACAGATGTTAAACAGACAGTGGACCTAAAATGAAGGCAGTTTGTTTGTTTGATGTTAGTTAAGAACATTTGCTCTTTCCTCAGCCTGCTGGAGCTGTCTCTGAAGAAGCTGGCCATCACATTCGGGAAATCCTGGAATGACCTGGAGGACTTCAAACGGATATTTTGGAAACTCCGGAGCCCCATAGCTGGTAAGAAAACCTGCTCCATCATTTAGTTTTCCTTGTTTGGTTTTCCACTAATCAAATATGAACGTAACATTGAAAGATAAAAAACAAAAAAATACCCCAACAAAAGTAGATCTTTTCTAAAAAGTCTCGAAAGAGAAATAAAACTGTTTCTGTGTTGTTTTTTATATATCTGCAAAGCAGTATAGATTAAAAATCCCCAAACTGGGAAAACATCAGGTGCAGACTGATTTATAATTGATCACAGATTATTCAAAAAAATACCATAAAATCTTGAAAAAAAAAAAAAAAGAAACTGCTGGAAGTATTTCTGTTTTCACAAGCAGAAATGAGCCGATGGGAAAATGGTGCTTTTTACAGTAGCAGCCATTCAAAATGGCCGCTCCCAGCCAGACAAATGGCTCCTTCAACTTCCAGCCCCCGGCCTTCTCCTGGGGGTGCATATTTCTTTACTCTGATTCCTCCTCTGACTACCACTTCCCTCCAACTCCCAGCAAAATCCCCTCCAACTTCCAGCCACTGCAGTGACCCCCCTCTTGCATATTTCTTTACTCTGACTCCAACGTTTCACTGAATTACAGGGTCTGACCAGGAGGTGGCGCTTCTCTTTAGATTCTAATGTCCACAAATCATGACAGAAAGAATATTTTAGTACAAAGATTGATGTTTAAAAAAGGAATTGAGGGTAGACCAGGCGAGGACCAGCCAAGCAAAGTGGGGAAAATGTTAAAGGCTACTACTGTAAATAGAGCAAATGACTAATAATAAAAGTTTCAACAAACAAGAGGTGGTAAAACAGGAAGTTTTATTAAAGATATTGTGGAGGAGTGAAGATGACGACACAAGGCAGTCAGGTTTAAACAGTTCTTTACTCCAACTGAGAGCAACTGTACAGAAAACCCATATATATACACATCCGAACAAACATATTTCCCCTAACTACAACCTCTCCACTGAGGGAGAGTGGAGCCCCCTAGTGGTCCGCCACAATATCAATTTAAGTAGAGTAAAGGAAAAAACTTGGCTAGCAAAATAAAGCTTTAGAAAGTAACCGAATGCAGCTCCATAAAAAGTACTGCTAACACTAATATGGTGTGAAAGTTACTGCGTAGCTCACCACTGATCATTGCTGCAAACTGCTGAGTATTAATAGACTAGATTAATCAGGTTTTACTGCTGAGTTCCTTTTCTGATACTGAAGTATATATATTAACCATTATGTTCTAATTTTAGAGTACTGCATGGATCACTGGAAGGAAGACTGGTTCTTTGGCTACCAGTGTTTAAACGGCTCCAACCCGAGGATGATCAAGAGGTGTACGAAGCTGCCTGAAAACTTCCCCGTCACATCGGATATGGTTCAGAGCTCCATGCCGGCTAAAACTAGCCTGGAAAAAGAACTCAGGGTGGGAAATCGTCTGTTTCCAGAACTTATTTTAATCCATTCTACAGCCATTCAGGTCTTATTTTCACTTTCTCTTGGCTTTTATCGTTTGAATCTCTTTAGGCGGGGAATATCTACCTCTTAGATTATGCCATCATGGAAGGGATACCTGCAAACACAATCAAGGGTAAACCGCAGTTCATAGCTGCTCCGCTCTGCCTGCTCTACCAGCATCCAGATGAAGGACTCATTCCTATTGCAATTCAGGTATAACAAACACGTTTGACCA